TAAAGCACATTATTTCTTCAAAAATTTAAAGTATTATTCCCAGGTATCATAAGACAAACACACACACAATATATCTGAATTTGTTCACCACCTAAAGTGTGTCATGTATGTTCAGAAATACACACAAAATTTAATTTTTAATCTCCTTTGTCTACCAGGAATTATTTCCAGACATATTGTTTTATCTAGATTTTCATCAACTGTTTTCCAGTTGTAGGGAGCCCTGTATGTGTGTGTTTCCCAGCAGTGTTAGAGACAAGGATAGAATCGTGCTTGAGGTGTGTAAGCCCACCAGGCTATACAACCGCATTTCAACAAATATTAGCTAATGCCATGGAGAAGGCAGTCTTTAAAATGCATCAAAAACGCGAGTATGTCTGTGAATGTGCACGTGCGTGCAGGAGCGTGTGCGTGCATGAGTGTAGAAAGGGCTTGAAAAACAGCTTTGTATTTTGGGGTGCTTCTGACACTTACTATATGAATACTGAAAGCTTTTTTTTCCCAGATGCTCAGATAGTTTGCCAGGATGTGCTAAAAAACCAAATCGCTTGGAGAACATGAGCTAGCCTAGAGATTAATAAAACCTCCAACTTCACAGGCTTCCACAAATAATGATATGAAAACAACAGATAATTTTAAGCTATCAAATATTTCAATATTTCAATACTTCACTCTGTTTGCTTCTATGACATATTTATCCCATACGAAAGATGTGAGTTGTAATGGCCTTCTGGGACAGGAAGAAGTTTTCTGTAGAAAATGTTAAATTAATTTTGATGGTGATACAAAGTTAAGGAAGGGTTGTTAAGGGATGGCTTGCTGCCACGGGGTGGGGTTTTGTTTTGGTATCCTTTTAGAGCCTGCAGGTGTTTGGCACCAGCTAAAATCAGGGCCAGCTGTGATGTTTCAGTTCTGATACTTCCCTCCCAATAGTTCTCAGAAGTGATGCTTCAGGGTGAGTCTTACACCTGATGGATTCAACGTGTGTGGTAGAAATGTGAAGGCTCTGTTAAATAACACCAGTTTGGCGACACCCTTTTGCCCTCTCTTCCCCACCCATGGGTCATGGCAGCAAGGAGAGAAAAAAAAAAACATTAATCAGAGATTCGGTCATTCATATCTATATATTCTTTAATTGCGCAGTTCAGTCGAAGAATACACTTAGAATCGCCAAATACACGGTCTTAAGCAAAATGCAAAAAACAGGGTAACACAATCTCTTTTGATTCTCATGGTAGATAATGATGCTATTAAATGCTCTCGGTGGTGGGATCCATACCTATTTTTGCAGGAATCTGAATAGTTTCTATTAAAAGCTGCATTTTCTTTTAAGTTTGTTTGGGTTGGAAAACCTCAAACCACAATGTATTTTATGCACATGTTCCCCAGGGTATGTTAAATAGGACCATACTGAGGTCATCTAGCAAGTTTTTCAAACTTTTTAAGAATTCCTTTAATGTACTACACAATCTTGGCCTGGTTTAAAAAAGATATTTTAAGAAAGCACTTAAAAAATGACTCTTAAAATCGATATGCAGATAATCCATATTGCATTTCTATAAAATACACAGAGTTTTCCACAGATAATTTATCACCGAGGGAGAAAAACAAACTACCACTAAAAGGTTTTTGGATCAAAATTCCTCTAAGCTATCAGTAAATACAGACCAAAACTCCCACAGTATTCTTGACTGACTTAACAGTGGATGCTTGGAGGACCCTTTCAACCTTTCAGAGTCTGCAGCAGATAATCAGAGGCTAAAATAAAAGGTAGACAACGTTGCATCTATCCAAGAAAAAAAAAAATCATCTGCTCTTTCAGCTGAGTCAAAAAAAAAAAAAAAATCAAGTTTCCTCAGAACATGAGGCCATGATGAAATTATTTAGGTTCGAAATAGTTTCTACCATCAAGTACATTTTTGTCGTCTACCGAGCTCAAACCACAGATGAAGGGTGAATGGCCCACTTGATAAGCAGGCCCCCAGAAAATCCTCTCCTGCACTCTGATGCTTCTGACTTTCCTTTTTTTCTTTTTGGTTGGACACACCCCTCTTCACTTCATCAAAGCCTCACTTCCGGCGCCGTGTTCCAGGCCTTGTACTTCACCCAAATCAATTTTCCGTTGAGCTACAGCTGTGCTACAGCGAGCACGAGAGCCAGCCACGGGCGCCAGTGGCGGGGTCCCACATCTGAGCACAAGTGGCCGGTTCCATGCACTCCCGGGCCAAGAAACTCTACAGCTCATGGGGGAAAAACAAGGGAGGACACCTTAAACGGAAATGATACTTTTACGGAAAATAAAAAATAAGAAGAGTTTCAGCAATCAGAAATGATGAAGGATTGAGAAGTTCTTGGCACAGAGTTCGCGAATGCCTTTTCTTAAAAAGAATATTACAGCTCGATTCTTAAGCTAGGGATCCCCAACCCCAGAGCCACACTGATTTTGTTTGTATCCACCAAACAAAGGTCTTTGTATCCACCAAACAAATATAACCTTGAGCAAAGGTCTCCACCGAAGAAGGTGTTTTTTAACAAAAATATTACCTTAAAGGGTACCATTGTAACCCAGAGTTACTCCTGTGTCTTGAGCCTTTACCTCTGGCAATCCCTACTGCCCTTGATAAACATTATCACATGTAACACGACAATATAGAGCAAAGATCCTATTACACCCCTTTACCGTTGAGAAAACTGAAGCCCAGTAAGTTTATAAAGCTGCCCAACAATTTTGACTCTGTGGTCTTAACCATTATGCAGTGCTTTCCAAACAAAGGCTATAGATAGACGCTGTCAGCCCCACCCAGGGGACGCACAATAGCCCCTTGATCATTTGGAAAACCTATACTTGGCAGAGTTTAACCAACTCATTCATTCACGGATTCATACAACAACAATATTTACTGTGTATCTGCTACCTAAGTCGATTTTAGATTTATTTTTTCAGAAAGGAAGAGAATTACTAAATTCATGTTAAATCCCTAGCACTTGGTACATAAGTACAATAAAGGTTTGTCAAATGAACTTTTGAAAGTAGTCCTAAGACATAACTCCCTGATTTTTTCACATTTTACATTTCTTCCAAAATTCAAAATGATAATGGAATTCTTTTTAAAAGAGCCAAGTGTACTTACCTCTCATGCCAAACAGTCCTACATACAATGGCCAGAGTCGTCCGTGCTAATTTTTAAAATGTAACAGTATTGCATTGCTCTCTAGTCCTTCTAAAACTCCAGATAAATTTTATGTGTACATTTGGCATTTAAACTGCAAAGAACGAAAGTATATATAAAAGAGACCAACTCCACTCTTGCAACTAGGGTACAATTGTCAGTAATTATCACTGGATGATTAAGAATTTTTGATGTTAGAATAGTAACAGGAGCTACTTTTGGGGGATAAGAAGGCAATTTTCAGAGACTCCTGGGGTAGTAGCAAAAGCTAAAAATATGCCGTAGACCAATATTAGAAACTTGAGGGTCCAAAAGAGTTGAGATAGAACAATTAAAGTAATTAAACCGAACTACAAGGGAAAACTGGGAATGAAAAACCTAACTATCCTATATTCAATCTGAAGCAGCCCATAAGGTGAACAATTTGAAGGGTGGAACCTTGGTTCCTTGTTCATCAAAACCTAGAAAATAGGTAATGTTAGAAGATACCCAGTGATTCGTCTCGGGTTAGCCTGGTGATGGGTATTAAAGAGGGCACGTTCTGCATGGAGCACTAGGTGTTAAGCACAAACAATGAATCATGGAACACTACATCAAACACTAATGATGGAATGTGTGGTGTTTAACATAACATAATAAAAAAAAAAAAGAAGATACCCAGTGATTTTTAAAATAACGTTCTTTGTGCCTGAAAATACACAGGTGAAGCAACAGAAATGTTGATGATAAAACTCTCAGAAATGATCTCTAGGGAAACGTGCCCTCAAATCGAGTTAAACGCCAAGTCCTACACAGCTTGGTACCATTTTTAAGAAGGAAAATGATAGCAAAACCCACCCATTCCCCCACAACAACTCAAAGCCAAAGCTTGGCCTCATTTGAAGTTATGAGTGAGAACACTGGTCCTCCGAGTCTAGTACGTTTCAGAGTGTGCTCACTGCTGCCTCATGGCAAGGAGCTATTAATCACCAGACATTAATCCACTGATGCAGCGAGGACCCTGTCATAGAAACCCAGTACATATCCAGCGGGGCCCTTAATCTCAAATACTTATTGGCCATTGTTTTATTATGGACAAAGCCTTGGCATATTCACGATGTTGGCAGGAAGATAACACACAGCAGAATTCCTGAATCCACTCATTTTTTTCCTCCAGTAAATATCATGAACACTGAATTAAATATATGTCAATTCTCCTTGAAGCAGATACTCATGTAAAAGATAGGTACCAAAGTTAAAAAGGTCAGTTTTCAACAAAGTTCTCCTCCCCTAGCAAATCATATTCCAGTTTCCATAATTCATTTCAAAGAAAAACCGGTTACAATATAAAGAATATTTTTAGACCTGTAATTTTGAAGTGTTGGAAGCTGATAAGATATGTGAATAATCATAGTGAAAGCTTCATAGAAAAATGGCATTCCTCTACCTTTTGGGATTAATATGTGAATCTGAGAAGCAGTAAATTGCTTGCAGTGATACTGATTAAAGTAATAAATCAAAAATTATTTTGATAGCCTCTAAAAATAATAATTTGAACAATGTTATAGAAAAAACTCATTTTTTCAGGTGATCCTGATTCCTGGGGCCCAAAAAGAAGCTTATAAGAATTTTTCAGTACAAACCTCTATTCAAGTACAATTGATTCTTCACAAATAATGCACTTTATTAATCAAAACATATAAAAGCCTCTCATTTGCAAAATTAACCATGACTTGCTTTGTACACTTTAAGATAGCCATCTGGTGAGATGTGGGCTGCAACTATAGAAGTTGTCATACTTCCTTCTATAGAGAATGATCTCTGAGGGCCTGAGCCCAACCTCTCAATTATCTACATTTCCCATTTTTCAGGAGAAACAAATGTCCTGACCTTGCAAACTTTATGTAGAGACTGCTGCAGAAATATGTTAGATCTGATGGGCGTAAAAGTATGATTGTAGACAGCCAGTTCTAAATTGATTCTTTTTACTTCAGACCCACAGTCTAACGTAACCGTCAAAAATCACGTTACATGACTTAAGCTCAAGGCCAATGGCTCACGTGTATTTACGTGAATCAATCTGGATAAAGAGAGGCAATTTCTTGCATTTTTTAACTACCATGTACTAAAAACTTCAAAAACCAAACCTGGGGTTCTGCAAATACGTTCTTCATGTCATTGATTGGGCCATACGCAACCCCGCTGCCTTCAAAGAGGTATAACCACTTGCTGGTCATTTCTTTTTCAAACCTAGGAACAGACCCAAAAAAGATGGATTTTTACACAACAGTTTTTTCTCATATGGCCCTCTTTCGAAGCAACCAGTAACAACAAAACTATGTTTCTTAGGCTTTCTTTGCTCCTAGTTTTGAGAATGTTGCCTAACTCAAACAACTTGACTTGTCCAGGAGTGGTAAGAATAGCCAACCAGCTCTCATTGTTTGAAGGTCCACCATTAGACATATAATCCCTCCTATTTCTGTGTCTGTGTGCTTTTTGACAGGGAGTCCCGTGGAGAAGGCAGATTGTGTGGGAAATGGTTTTAGCTGAGCTTCAATTGTTACTGTATTGAGCACCTTATAAATATAACAATATAATTGCAATTTTGAGCACAATGTCATTGTGCAAAGTGTTTTTTAGGATTCGGGCATAGTACATCAGTTTAAGGTAGATTGATATACTAAATTATTCCTCCAAACAAAAAATAAACAAATGTAGTTGTTTTAAAAGAAAGCTATATGTTCAGGGCGCCTGGGTGGCTCAGTCGGTAAAGGGGCCGACTCTTGATTTTGGCTCGGGTCAGGATCTCAGGGTCCTGGGATCGAGCCCCACGTTGGGCTCTCTGCTCAGGAAGGAGTCTGCTTCTCCTTCTCATTCTCCCTCTGTGCTCTCCCTCTCTAAAATAGATAAAAATCTTTAATTAAAAAAAGAAAGCTATATCTTCTACCTCCATTATATTTAAAGTACGCCACAATTAACAGCTACAACCATTGGCCTAAACACAACTTTAGCTACTTATTTGCACTATGACTTCCTAATCAGAACAAATCTAGGCATGTGAAGACTGATATATCAGTTTAGCCAGCAATGCTCAAATCCAGCCAAGTCCTTTACCTCTGTTTTGTTTTTTCTATAATTTACAATTAGACTTCACAGACATAAAAGCTTATTTGATTCCCTTTATTTTCTCTATTATGTCAAGGAAAGGGGACCTAATTCATTAATGAGATTCACCGTTTGTTTGTTTTTTTAAGATTTTATTTATTTATTTGACAGAGGGAGACACAGCAAGAGAGGGAACACAAGCAGGGGGAGTGGGAGAGGGAGAAGCAGGCTTCCTGCGGAGCAGGCAACCTGATGCGGGGCTCGATCCCAGGACGCTGGGATCATGACCTGAGCTGAAGGCAGACGCCCAATGACTGAGCCACCCAGGCACCCCGAGATTCACCGTTTTATATTTCTTCTTCACCATTTTATATTTCTTCTTGTGAAACAGTGAAACAGAAATAAAATCTTGGATCCTCAAAGACAACTCAACAGTCATAATTTGTAACATATGAAGAATTTAGAATTACTAATTGTTAAAATAGCAAGCTATTTCTAGCTAAGTAATAATCTAGGTGAAAAGAGATTTTTTTTAAAAAAAAGCATTAGGTAAAATAGATTATTGACAGCAAGCAGAAGGCTTCACTACTATGGGAGGACAAGTGGAAATATAGTAGAAATAGTGTTCACGGACTTCTACTCAGCAGTCTTAGACATAGCTAGAATTAATCTTAGGTTTGCAGATTCCATGGGAAATTATATTGGAGAATGCACTATTTCTTCCACTGTTTAAAACAAGGGTAAAATCAGTATCAATACTTTGAGGGCACTTTCCTAATCTCACCATTTGGTGAATAAAGATTTTTCATTGTCCATTTTAATTACAGCCAGTAATGTTAACTATCCCTACTTAGTACACAATCAAATACTTCACTTCTACATACTGAAAAGCATTCTTTCATGGGAACACCACCATGCAAGATGAAATGTCTTTCATTAATCAATTCTTCACACCTTATTTTCTTTTCAATGACTATTAAAATCATCTCCTGGCCCAGACTTCCTAAGACATATATATCACCAGAATGATATATGCTGAAAGAATAAAAGAGATACTTTGAACCTGGAGCCTTTTCAATCCGGGTGTCAATCATTTAAGTTTCCATAAGCAGAGCGTTATCGTGGTTAACCTGATAAATTTTCAAGACATGTGAATTTATCACCACCGGACTCACCTAAGTGGCCTCAAAGAGCTGCACAGAAAAGGCACGTCAAGATCCAAACAAACCCATAGCTGCAGGCTTGCCAACAGAAAACTCAGGGGAATAGCTGAAGTTTTAGTATTTATATAAGCTTTTCACCACTGGGCAAAAGAGAGGGATTTATTTTATGTCATGGAAAACAACAGATGCACTTTGGAAAGGAGACTGGGGAGCAAGACAGTGTCAGGAGCTGCAGTGGTGACCACTGTGGATGTGCGTGGGCGTGGGTGTGGACGTGTTCATAAATGCCTTCAACTCAAGCGGCCAGAGACAGAACATTGCGGCATTCTGCTGCTCCCAGGGCACACATCCCTCATTTTCTTCTGAAAATCTATCTCTTGATCTAAATCTGATGTGGAATCCTCTCCTTTATCTATGCAAAAAAACTGTAAGCACATGTTTTTATTAACCACAAAAATGCTGCTAAAAAAAAAGTGGAAAGAGCTGTTCTAAATCACTTAGGGCAAAACAGTACTGAAGATAAGACAGGAAGAGTGTCCTTCGATGCAGTGTAGGGAGCCTCAAAGCTTCAGCCTCCTCTGGGAAGTTACTTGGGAACTCCTAAGACAAGTCAGATTTCATTGTGAACTTGCCAAATCAACCCATATATTAAATTTTAGATTGTTGCTGAATTTGCTTGCTGTCGATTGAATCATTTAGGTAGATGAAACATTGGTACGTTTAAATTTCTTAGCATCAAAATTTTACTTAAAGAACAAACAAAACACTTCTCTTTAGAGAATGGATTAAAGTTGCAGCCAAATCCAAGACAAGACAGAAACCAAGAGATACAGGCCATGAAGGTGGAGTTGGAAATAATTCTAATATTAATGATTACTAAATGTTGGTTAGTATATTTTGTAGCTTTTCTCCCCAAAAGCACACTGTAATAAAAGTATTATTCTCATATGACCAACAGGAAACTCAGGTTTGGAGAAATTAACTTGCTCAAGTTCATAAAGTTTTTTCCCTCCAAACTTTTTTGAGGTATGACTGACCAATAAAAGTTATATATATTTATTTTGTACAGCATGTTTTTTAGAGTGTGGTGCAATGCAGTGATTTAATATACATATACATCATGAAATGATTACCACAATCAAATTAATTTACACATCCTTCACCTCATGGTTACCATTTGTGTGTGGGGGGGGTGTATGTGGTGAGAACATTTAAGATCTACTTAAGAACATTTAAGTATAAAATATGGCATTACCTTCAATGACCATACTATACATTTGATTCTCAGAACTTTTTCATCTTATAACTGAAAGCTTGTACCCTTTAACCAGTTCCTCCCCATTTCCCCCATATCCTAGTCCTGGGAAACCACCATTCAACACTCTGGTTCTGTGAGTTTGACTTTTTAGATTCCACACATGAGTGAGATCAATGCAGTATTTGTATTTCTGTGTCTGGCTTATTTCACTTAGCACTAAGATGCTTCTTCACTTCCATCCTCTATACCTGAAGATACATCTCCTTACATTAATACCCACTCATTCATTCCTGATGCTTTTAGCAAGAGTTTGTTTTGTCCCAGTCATGGGGATTACAACAGTAAAAAAGTCCCTGTTTTCAAAGATCATACAATCTAATGGAGAACACAGCTAAGGAAATTGATGATTTGCAATGCAAGATACCGAGACAAAAATGAGTGTACAGCCTACAGTTGAAGTACCAGAGAAGGAGACCTGAACTGGGCCTGGGGAGTCAGGAAAGAATTCAAAAGCCAGGTGACATTTGAGGCAGCTGCTGAAGGATGAGTTAGCATTTTCCATGTGGAAGATGGAAAGAAGGGTATTCCAGAGAGAGCAATGTGTACAAAGACCCAACATGGAAAGAATCTAAAATCTCCTGTACCCTGAATGGCGAAGGATGAAATGGGAAAAGAAGGTTAGAACCAGAGTGCAAGGCATCTTGTCTGCTATGCTAAGGATATTGGATTTCCACTGGCCATGAGGCACCCAGAGAGGTCTTTCAGTGGGGGGCTGACATAATCAGGATCAATACAGGGAATGGAAGGATACAGATGAGACCAGAGGCAAAGAAACTTGACAGGAGGCAACAGATTCTCTCCCTCTGATGCATCTTAAATCTCCCCCTCTATCAATATCTTCTGTGTTATTGTCAATAATAAAAAAGTTTTGGGGGCACCTCAGTCAGTTAAGCATCTGCCTTCAGCTCAGGTCATGATCCTGGAATCCCAGGATTGAGCTCCACATCGAAATTAATAATAATAATAATAATAATAATAATAATAAAGTTTTCATTCAAAGAAAAAGTTTTCTTAATATTCTTACCCTTTTGTTCCTATCCTATTTACCCATTTCCAATCTACCACGACTGCCTGAGCCTCTGAAATTTGACTTGTTCACCAACACCTTTTCTTGCCCAATCACCAAGAGTCTTCAGGGACCACTACCCAATATTCTTTTCATAGTCCTCATCCTATCTGCTCTCTGTGCATTTGATGCTGTTGACTATCCTTTTTTTTTTTTTAAAGATTTCATTTATTTATTTGACACAGAGAGAGAGATAGTGAGAGAGTGCACAAGCAGGGGGAGCGGCAGGCAGAGGGAGAAGCAGGTTCCCCGCCGAGCAAGGAGCCTGATGTGGGGCTCAATCCCAGGACCCTGGGATCATTACCTGAGCGGAAGGCAGCTGCTTAACCAACTGAGCCACCCAATCCTATCTTTATATCCTATGCTATTGTACTTACTGGATTTTTAATACCTCTTTGGCCCTTTCTGTTTCTTTTATTAATTCTTTTACCTTTTCCTTCCAGTCCCAATTTTCTTTGTTCTCTTTCACTCATCTAAGTAATCCTGCTGTCTCCATGTAGATGATATCTAAATCTTTATTTCCAGCCCTAACCTTTCCCCAAGCCCCTCTTCCTAGTTACCATGGGATATTTCTACTCAGATACACTATCATCGCCATAAACACAACATGCCCATGGATGACTTAAGACTTCCCTTTCCCCTTGCCTGAATTCACACTCTTGGCTAAATTGGGAACTCTTTTTTTTCATCATCTCTTATAATTTATACATAATTGGCCTGTAAAATCAACTTTTCAACAGTTAAGCTCTATTTATCTAGTCCCACTGTTGCTACCACCGTTCAGGCCCTTGACTCTTCATACTTGGACTATGGCAATAGTTGATTAAAAACTCACTGCCTTCCCAAGGTAAACAAAGGCAAAAATGAGCTATTGGGACTTCATCAAAATAAAAAGCTTTTACACAGCAAAGGAAACAGTCAACAAAACCAAAAGACAACCTAAAGAATGGGAAAAGATATTTGCAAATGTGTAATCAGATAAAGTGGTAGTATCCAAAATCTATAAAGAACTTACCAAACTCAACACCCAAAGAACAAATAATCTAGTCAAGAAATGGGCAGAAGACATGAGTAAACATTTTTCCAAAGAAGACATCCAGACGGCTAACAGACACATGAAAAGATGCTCAACATCACTCGGCATCAAGGAAATATAAATCAAAACCACAATGAGATATCACCTCACACCTGTCAGAATGGCTAAAATTAACAAATCAGGAAACAACAAATGTTGGCGAGAATGCAGAGAAAGGGGAACCCTCTACACTGTTGGTGGGAATGCAAGTTGGTATAGCCACTTTGGAAAACAGTATGCAGGTTCCTCAAAAAGTTAAAAATAGAGCTACCCTATGACCTATCAATTGCACTACTCGGTATTTACCCCAAAGATACAAATGTAGTGATTTGAAGGGGTACCTGCACCCCAATGTTTATAGCAGCAATGTCCACAATAGCCAAACTATGG